GGGCGCCTCCGTGCTCTGCTCTGGCGGAGGTGGCGCGCCGCTGTGGCTTCAGCTGCTGTAGGAGGCTTTATCGAAAGGATTAAAAACTTGCCCGGTCTTCCGTGAGCTGCGCCGGGTGGGGGACAAAGGTTGTGTCCCGCTGTGTGGGTGTCTCGCCGGGCTGTGGGCGCCGCGGCCGCCGCGACGCGGGACGCTCGAGAATGCGTCAGTTATTTAACTTTACTTCGTGTTTTGTAGCGACTCTTAAAAAGTGACGTGCGTCCTCCTGTGGGATTTCTTTTTTTAATAATCAGATGAGATGATTTCAGAATAGTTTAGTTCTTAGTAAACAAGAAGAAATATGAAATTCTTTGTGAGCTGCCTTCTTTGGAAGCATGACATTCTGTTTTATAACAGAGCATGTTCAGTTCCTTGAAGTATTTTGAAAGGTGTGGTTTCTTCTCCTTAAGATACTGATATGTTTTCATTTTTGGCTGGGATCATATGGCCTTCATCAGTTTTGTGATTCTTTGGCTAAACGCTCTGCAAAAATATGCTCTGGCCAGCATCTCGAGGTAATTAATAGATGGAGCTTGTGGCTTGAAGGCAGACTTTCCCCACCCGAGTTAGGAAATAGCAGACCTTTGCTTAGGGCTCTTCTGAAGACCTGGCGGTCGCTTTCAGTGTTGGGGGTCTTGAACGTGTCGAGTAAGTTTCAGAATGGGGCTTTATTTTTTTCAGTGGCAAAATCTTTGTTTCAAATTGAGTTGCCTATTGAAAAAATTGACGTAAAACTGACATGTACGCAGTCTTAGTGCTTTGACACGAGACTTTTGTCTTCTGGAGAAGTATTACTGTCACTAATACATACTGCAGATGCTGTACTGCTTTACGTTTCTGTATTACCTGTCTTAGTTTTGTTTTTTAAAGCTAAGAGTAACGTTGAACTTTTTTCTAGCCATGCAAGAAACGGCGAGAAGAAGATGCTTCTGTAAAAACAATCACAAGATACTTTTCACCATTAGCAAAACCTTTGGATAAAGTGTTGTCGCCACCAAAAACCAACAATATATTGGATTATTTTAAAAAGACATCTATGACTGAGAAAGCTATGTTGCCAGTCGTAGCTGGAGAAAATAAACTACAGTTGGATGCCGATGACAAAGATGGTAACTCACCTTTGAAACCACCTTCAACGCTGAAGCGGAAAGGGAAGAGAGTTAATTTAAATAATAAACTAGGTGAGAGGAAAGAATCTGAGAATGAACACATAATAGAAATTAATAGCGATGACAGCAGCAGAGAAACAGCAGGACCAAAACAAGATGCTAATGATTTTACTGGCACCTGTACTTTAGTTGACCAAAACTGTGTAGAAGAATTAGCAGAAGATAGTCTGCAAAGTGAGTACATCTCGAACGATGTCATCTACAGAAAAAAAGATAAGAAAGTTCGCTCTGAAATAAATAGAACGAAAAATAGCATAAGAAAATCAAGGAAAAGGAAGCACAAAGTAAATATGGATTCGTCTGAAAGCTTTTCATCTGAAAACCAGCTGAATGAAAAGTGTGAAAAGGAACCTAAAGTTAAGGAAAAAACAGTATCTCCTAAAATGGAGTGTGAGGCTACTATTAGTGACTCAAGTGTTGGAGTTCAGATGGGTGATAAGCCATCACAGGTAAATGGTAGTATAATAACTGTGTCATTTGAGGACTTCCTGAAGAGTCAAGAAGATAATGCAGATCATGTTGAGGAAGGCACAAAGCTAACACTGGACGACTCTGTTGCAGCAAATGAAACGGTCAAAAGTGATAGCGTTAGTGACCCCGAAAAGTATGAGGAATCTCAACAGCTACCACTTAAAACAGTGACTGTCCTTGCACAAATTCATTCTGTTCCCCCCAAATCACCTCCTCTACATAAGGAGCAAAAAGCTTCCAGGAAACTAGCTTCCATTTTTTTGAAGCAAAAAGGATGTGTAGGGGAAAAAGAAAGTAGTCTAGTCCTCTTGGAGAGTGAACAATCTGAACAAATTACTCAGAAAAGAAAATCTAATGTTGTTATTGAGGAAGAAGAATTGGAGTTGGCTGTACTAGAGACTGCAGGATCAGAATCTTTAAAGTCAAAGTGTACTCTAGAAGAAAGGCATCAGTTTATGAAAGCCTTTAAACAACCAACATCGGATGTAATAAAAAGTGGAGTTAAAAAGGCACCTGGGAAACTAAAACAAGTCATTGCGAAGTCATCAGAAGAAAAAGAAGGAACAGACGGAGGGGATCTTGCTTCAAATAAGGGATTAGACGGTGAAATACTAGAAGATTATGTGGACAAACATTCACATCATAGCCCTGAAAACAGTAGAACTAGAAACAAAAGACCTAATAAGTTTCAGAAAAATGGAAACAGAAGAAAGAAGGCTTTGGAAACTAAAGAAATGAGTGTCTCAAATACTAACAATTATAACAAAGATTCCGGAGCTAATGTTCGTACTAAGGATAATGCCTTAGATGTAAGAATTTCGTCAAGTCCAAAAGTGAATGAGTTAAGGAGGAGTTTAAGGCAGAAGAAAATTGAAACACCCGAAAAGGTTACACCTAAAAAAAACAGAACAAAAGATACTTTTTGTGAAAATGAATTAAGTGACAGTCCTTTACAGACTTCCACACCAAAAGCAAGCAAGAAATCCTTGAAGAAAAGTAATGTGTATAAGGCTGAGGTGATTACAATACCCTTTGAGGCGAACAGCCCAATAAGGTAAATGTTTTTAGAGTATATTCTGTCTTTTTGCACTTTGTTTTCTTGTGGATATTTTAGGAGTAAGACATAATAATAAATTCATTGGAACACATACCAACGTTGCATGAATATTTACCATGTTGGATAATAACGTGGTGGAAGCAAAGTTGACCCTAGAATTGTGCTTGTGCTGAAAGACAAAAACAATACGCTTATGAAGGGGTTGGTT